CGCTCTTGCGCAACCGCATACACCACACCATCACACCAACCCTCATTGACCTCTTACACCCGGACACTGATACATCCCTCAACATCTGTTGTCTACTCGCGCTGTCTGATCTCCCCACGCCGCGCCATGTATCGAAAGTGTTGTACCGTCACAAGAGAGCAAGCAGCGGAGGACCACTACGCGCGTGCGGTGTGCGAAGTGCTGACCTTTTTACACAGGCGGCACGCTCTTGGTCTGCGTATCAGTGCCGCAACACTTTGAACTGCGAGCCTGGAGTCTTACTGGGTAGAAATTGATGACGACCGGACAACGTTCATCTCGCACCACAGCTCCTCTTACTCTCACCTTCTCTCTGGCTCTCCCATCGGACTATCAATCAACCGGCGAGGAAGGGTGGTTGTGTAACATTCCAACGTCAGCCGTCGTGGTTTTGTTTGGTATCGGAGGCCTCTGTTATGGCTATGCCTCTATACGACCACGATGCGGCTGGTGGCTTCAGTTGTGGATGAACTTGCGACGATGAAAGTTATGACGAACAACTTCTTGATACGGTTATATACGATCTAAGCTGTGCTATGCCTTGCTATGCTATGCTAAGCTATGCTACACAAAGCAATAGACTTGATGATTTTCAGAAGAGCTAGAAGGACTAGGAGTGCTAGAAGGGATCAATAGTTGCACCAAAGGCACACCACATAGACAAATTGTATAGCTACCTAGTGAGGAATACTTGATCACAATTCCCTGAACAAGTAGCAAATGATAGAAGGGTCAAATAGTGAATGAAGTGTGATCACCACACAAAACCCGAATTTCCATCCATCCATAAAATCTAAATAAGATGGATAGTACACACACAGGAACCGAACCAGAACCAGAAACAAGAGTAGAGAGTATATGTAGCATTCACCACACTCCAAGTAGGTGAACAAGAAAAGTGATAAAAGAGAATAAAGTAATAAAAGAGAAATAAGGAAAGTGAGTGTATCGTTCAGACAAGTAATCAGATGACCGATCCTTCTCTTCTTCTACTACCTTACACGGTTATGTACTACTGTATCCCTTTTCTTGCTGCAAGCCGTGTCCGACCGACCAACTCCTCATGCACCGGCACCGATTTAACCACCCAACGACATCATCATTTTTTTTTTCTCTCTTTGTTTTCTCTTCCAATGAAATCCTCTAACGTAACATATGCCTACGACTATCTTTCCCCGCCGTCGTTATTTTTCTCTTTGCTGCCTTGGTTTTTTTCTGCTCTATCACCTGAAATTATCAAGCCATAAAAAGCAAATCATGCCAATGTAACAGCAACAACAAAAAGAAAAAAAAGACCATCAATTTCTTAAACCCGACTGCTGCTCTTGACGCGTGGGTGTCGTCTGAGTCTGCGTATTATTGGTATACGGCCATCCAGGTAGATTTGCTCTAAACACGTCCGAAGGGGATGCCATCCTAGGAGGAGGAGGCACCGGCATCTGCTGAGTGGGACTGAGAGAGTTCCGTTGCTGCTGCTGCTGCTGCTGCTGCTGCTGGTGGTGGTGGGTTCGGTGATGTTGGTTTTCATGATGATGGTGAGGTTGATAAGACTGATGATGAGAAGGAGGAGGAGGAGTTCCCGGAGAAATGTGACGAGGCTGATGAGAATTCCTTAATGGAGAAGGAGACAAAATGGAAGGAGGCTGGTGATGATGGGGAGAAGAAGAAGAAGCATAAGGAGCATAGGAAGCGGCGGAAGCGGCAGAAGCAACAGACGATGAAGAGTTACGATCTCCGGGATTCTAGCCCTTCCTCCGCCTCTTCGGATCGCGCCCAGGGCTTTCCAAATCGTTCTTGTTAATCTCCTCCGTTGCAGCCGAGGGGGAGGGGGTGTTGACAGGGGAGTTGTGCTCGAATATCCTTCCCGAGTCGAACCCGCCGCCGGGAACGGAGAGGCCGCCAGTGTTGGATGTGCCGGCTGTTGTGGCAGTACCACCATTGGGAGTGGGAGTGGCGCCGGTGTGAGTAGGGTTCGTCAGATCGAAGCCGTCGTCGAGATTGAAGTTGAAGTCGCTAGTGCCGTCGCCGGTTCCGTTGGCGCCGGGTAGCCCGGAGAATTCGTAGGCAGGATCGGAAAAGGCGTTGTCGTTAAGGTATTGCTCAATGTCAGTGCTGTCAAAGTAGCCGGCGGCGCTGTTAGGGTTGCCGTGCTCGTCGAGACCGGGGATGCGACCGGAGGGGCTCAACGGACCGAGCAAGCTCGTAAGTCGATCGATCTGGCTGGCTTGTTCCTCCTGGAGCCGTTGAAGGGCGTCTAGCTCCTCGTGGGAGTAGCTGGGGAATGGTGGCGGCGGCGGCATGGAGCCGAGGGCAGGAGAAAGCGCGTTGGGTGCAGTGTGGTTGGGGACGACAGGGGTAGGAGGAGCGGCAGCAGCAGCAGTGGTAACAGGTACCGTGGGAATAGTGGAAACTGGCGGCATCGTAGCCGTTGGGGTAGGTACCGTAGGGCTTGGGGCCGGTGACGAACTGTTAGTCGAGGGAAGGTTTCCGGCCATGATGCTGAGCATTTTGTTGCGCTGGTCGTTGCTCAGGGCATTCACATGCGTCTTGGTCGCCATATCTGGTAGATCAACACCTCCCGAGGCGCTCACAGCATTCGTGTCCTGAATGAGCTTCATCATCCCCTCCTGAGGGTTGTTTTGTAGCTCATTCTTCATGAATGTAGAAGATGGGCTGTCTCCGGGGGTTGTGTCGAAGAGTTCTGTGACGGAGCCCATCTGCTGCGCTTGATATTGGGGATGTACCGGGGCAGGAGAGGCTGATGAGGCAAGCGAGTGCATCTTGGCTACACCCTGCTGGGGGATAGGGGGCAGGAGACGCTGTTGACGCTTCGGTGTTCCCATGGACGTGTTGTTGTGGACCTGATGGTTGACGAAGCCGCCGAGGTCAACCACATTTGCCTGGGGCATTTGATTCTGATTGTGAACCTGAGCGTTAGGAATTATGCTTGCCAAGAGATCCTGCACGCTCTGCGTCCCTCCTTGCTCCTCCAGCGATTTTCGGAATACGTTGGCAAGAAAGTTAAGAATGGCGTTAATCGAATTCTCGTGACGTTCATGCTGGTTCTGAAACGTGAGGGCCTGTTGGAATAAGGTCGTATGTTCAGCTCGAATCTTTTGTAGCAAGCTGGAGATGGCAACCTGTTGCTGTTGTAGCCGATCTAGTTGAGACTTGACTGCTACCAGGTCCTTCTTGTGTAACGGGCCAACCTCACCAGCACCCGTAGAACCACGTCCGACTTGGGCTGACGAGTAATTCTGACCAGCGTATGGGTCTTCGCCACCGGCATCCTCCTCGCTATCCGCCTCTCCCTCGGCCTTGGGCGTAGTTTTGTTTGGCTTGTTTCCCTTTCCTCCACTCTTGGGTTTGTTGATCAGCCAGAGAAGGTTGGGGTGACCGCGCCTAAAGTAAGGATTGTAATATTCGCTTGGGCTCTTGTTCTTTCTTTCAGATGCCTTCATCGAGTTATCCGAAAGGCCTACTCGCTTATGGAAGCCATACATGTTGAGCTGCCGCACAAAGGAGGCATAGTTGTTGTGTTTGAAAAGCTCCGGGATGAGGGTCTTGGCGAACTCATCTTCATCAAGGACGATGAAAGAGTCACCCTTATCAGACCAGCGAATGAGATCCGTGTTCCTGGACTCATCCAAGAAGCTGAGCACATAACAAGGTTAGTATACTGTGTATATATACTTTTGAATCATATGGGTTAGGGTAATAACAAACACACCTGCTCAGTTTCTGGACGAAAGGCGGGATCTGCTTTCTCTTGGCCTGCGCTTCCCGCTTGGCACGCTGCGCCATCTCTTCGAGGCGCTCAATGTTGTCGTGCTCATCCATTGGAGGCACGTTATGCCCCAGGGGATAGGCAGCATCGTCACTAAATGAGACCCAGGTGTCGGCCGTCCCGTTGAACTGATTGGTAGTGACAAGGGCCCGACTTGGCGGGCGCCGCGCGAGGGCAGTGGAAGGTGCTGGAATAGGCTGCGGAAACGGTGCTTGCGTGGAGATCATTCCAAAAGAGTTGAGAGGTGCCGCTGCTGCGTCTGGGGGATTATTCCACCGGAACACCTGATCCGCTGGAGCGGGAGTGAACTGTTGCGGCATCTGCTGAAGAGGAAGGGGCACAACAGGCGAGGCGCCCGGGGCCGGTCTCTTTCTCGGGTTAGGAGAAGACATGGCGGCGTAAGACGGAAGCATGCGCTCGAGATGGTACGACGAGACGGTTTACTAGGAAAGCCACTACGGCGCAAAAATAGTTGATGTTGAAAGGCGCGGTAGACGATGGGGCTGCCTACTAACGACTTGTCGATGTAGGATATTGGTCTGGTCTCTCGTGATATCGGGCGTACAAGCTGGGCGATACTGTCCAAAAGTTGTACGTATCGTGGGTATCGACAGGAAAACCAGACCAACAGATACGATCGCGGGGAAGCGGAGTGTTAAGGGGTCCTGCTCAGACTGGAGAAGGATAAGAAGAGATGGGAGATTGTTGGTCCCAGGGAAGCACACAGAACGATGGAGGCGTTATATACCCTGCAGTGGTTTTGAGATGTCGCGATCAAAGGATACCAAAGACTCTCAGCCTCTTTCTGGGGGGGAAGGGCGAAAGTGTAAGCGAATCTGCGTCTGGTAACGATCAGAAGTGGTGGTTGACGACCGACAAGGACGCCGTGAAGGAGGCTGTTTGTCGCACGTCGATTCTCTTTCAAGCCCCCACCGGAGTGCAGGAAATGGCCTGGGATAATTGACGATTGTTTCTGACAGAGCAGCACTGCAGGCGTAGACAGTACAATGGTCCAATGAGCGCGGGTCTTGTTTCTTGTTGTCGAGGTCCTCGCTGGAGATTTTTGATGATTTGTTGGATTTTTGTTTTTTTTTTTGTTTTTCTGATTTTTTTTTGGCTTGTAATTTCAGGCGCTGGCTTCAACGACAACAGCCAACCTTGTCTGTGTTGTTTTTCAGTTACCCAACTGAACACCACCAAATAAAAACTCTTGTCGTCCCGCCTTGTATCCTGTCAATGTCTCTCTCACACAATCTCTCTCTGGTCCCCAGTCGCGCAATGATCCCTTCTTCAGATGATTTGGTCCGTGTCCTGTCTTCGGCCGGCCAAAGCTGGGCGGGGAAGAGGTCGTGGGGGATCGGATCCCGGAGTTGGGCCTTCTGAAAATGCTCGAGTAATGCAAACTGCGGAATCGCGGTAGCGGGCGGGACGCTGGGTGGCCGTGTCCGTGAACGGGGTAGTGGATGGATGGTCCGGAAAGGGGATCGGACGTTGCTCAAGGCGGCAGTGGTGGTGGTCGTCGTCGGTAGTGAACGCAAAACAGCGAAAAGCCGCGGAGTGGTACGGGCAGCAAGCAAGCAAGCAACTCGACCGAGTGGAAGCTGATGTGAGCGAGGTTTCGTTCGGCGGCTCCGAGTCCGTCCGTGATCCGTCGTCGGGGGTTTGGGGACTTTGTATGACGAGAAAGACGTGACGTTGGAGAAGCCGGCCTGCCGTTGGTTCTGTTAGTGATGATGTGTGTCGTCTCTCGAGATTGGATCGTTCGGCGGAGCATGCAACAGCATGATGGCGGCGGCAGGTGCGCTGGAATGGTGTGAACTCTGGGCTACTGTAGCACAGTATGGTAGCATCCGCACCCAATGCTCCAGCCGAGCCCAAGTCCAGCGCCAGCTTCCATCCACTTTGGTGAAACGATTTCACTGATCGCTCGATCGATGGCAGCTGTTAGCACTGTCCGTCCAATCACCTGTCTGGGAGATAAGGGAAATGCCACTCTAAACGTGGGGTCTATCCGTGCCAATTGCTCCGGCGTCGCTTTCTTGGCGGGTCCCTTTTTGCCGTGACCTTTGAGGTTCTCACCAAGAGAAAAAAAAAATTGTCTCTTGTCCGTGAAAAGCCCGACCCGACACCGACACCGACGCACAGGATACGTTACCTACCTGCCAGGGAGACAAGCGAGCGCGGGACCTGCTCCGGGACGAGATTCGCTAGGAGCATGTTTCCCGGCTGTGATGTATCACATACCAAAAGCTACCTATCCGAACGGAAACTCGTTATGTAGTCACCACCGACACTTGTTGTATTGTATTGTCTTCACAATGAGATCTGTCCATAACTATTAGACGGACTCAGCTACCTAACTACTTGGTCAATCTGATAACTCCAATCTCAGCTTCATCAATGACAATTGTCAAAGCAAGTGGCCGTGGTGGTTCATGCCAATGACCGGAGGTGCAGCATAATGGCTCATGTCACTTAGACGAGCTAGCATGAGGAGCTCTGACAAAGCCTTGAGTTGTGAATCGAGCTTTGAGCCTGTGAATCGAGGTAGCAGTAATGGCTAAGTAACAAGTGGAAGCCCAGCAGGCCCAGCCGTCCAATCCAAACACGGGTTGTTGTCAAGGGCTTGCCGGCATGGTCATGTACTTGACCCTATCGTCAGGTCTTGGCACCCCGGCCTTTTCTCCATGGAACCTTTCCATGAGCATCTACAGGATACTTTTTGCATGAGCACGATATGGATCCCCATGGCCGTTTCCTTCTTTTCCCCTTCTTCCGTCTTCTCTTCAAGTCTTTGGCGATGGAGTTGAGAGCGGAGGGGCTTCCCAAGGGTATGGAACAAGGTGTCCTTCAAGACGGTTGGTATATCGGGCCATGTAACTGTTAGTGTTTGTTAGTGCATTTCGGCAGCCAACAGAAATGCACTAGCTCCAAGCCTCAGAAACGTCACCCAATGGCTCTTGAACCGTGGCAATTGGTGGGTACGGGGTACATAAGCTTATCTTTTCATGGGAAAGGTTTGACACCTTCGGAATGAATGCCGTCAAGTGCGAGTGGTCAGAGAAACGTTGAGGGTATCATTTGGGTTGGCTATTCTACAAACTAGACGTACATACGCACACTTTCATCACACCGTTCTTGAGCTACAGGTAGCATTATGGAATATGACATAACCAACAAAGACACCAAGGACGGGGGCACCTTATCCAGTAAATCAGTATCGGTCCCGTCTTCCCCGGTCCCAGGCTCTTGAAGAGCCTCCCGTCTTAGCATCTCGGGTGGCCTTCTTCTCCTCTTTGAGCGTCCTAGCTTTCGCCAGAGGATCAATCACCACCAACTCTTCCTCCGCCTTCTTCCGGTAACTGAGGTCTTTCCCGAGCTTGTCAGCAGCAAAACTCAACTTGTGAGACATCCAACCTTCATCACCGCTATCCTCATTGTCCTCCACCTTGTCCCAGGCCTTGCAGCTTTGACAGTTAGCAATGAAGTGTAGATCGCACACTTTTTCCTCGTCTGCTTGACCGTCTTGTTCGCCATTCTCTACATCTGGATTCACCGCAGGCTGGGCCGCATTCTTCTCTGGTGGAGCGGTTTCAATCTTTGCCTTGAAAGACTTGAGCAGGTCCAAAGCCTCTTGCTCTTCCCGGGTGGGATTGCTACTTGCACCTGGCCGGCGCTTTCTCCCGCGGATGGCTGTATCCGGGATCAGTTGCTCCAAAGCCGACTTCTTCTTATCCTGCTTTACTGGCTCTGAATGGATCGTCCTTTTCATTGACGCTTTGAGTGCCGCAATCTCTTCATTCGTCTTTTCAAGGAGGGACTTCTTCTTGGGTTCTTCAGGTTCTGGGCTCGAATGCTCGCTGTAGTGCTTCTTGGGCGGCTGCTCTTTCTTCTGAGCAACCGGCTGTGGGCTTGGACTCCTGCTTTCCTTTACTAGTTTTGGCTCTGGCTTTTCTTCCCGTTTTGATACATCCTTTGCCACTGGTTTGGCGTCCTTTTTGGCAGATGACTTTTTCGAGGCGCTTTGCTTGCTTGAATCGTCTTGGTCAAGATCCGCCACGATCCTGGTATCAAACTTGGGTTTCTTGGGAAGAGGAAGCTCTTCTCCATCCTCATCACCGACCTCGTCTCCAAAGCTGAGTAGCTGCTTGCCGCCTTTCCTCTTCTTCTGCTTCTTCTCGGCGGGAGTGGGCCTAGAAATTTGCTGTGGTCTGGGTTTCTTCTCCCTCTTCTGCATGTCATCGAAGGGGTTGATGAGGATCTCGATACGCGTGATCTTGATGGGATATAGGGGCCGCTCACCGCCCTCTTCCACCTCGGCCTCTCCGATCTTTGCCAAGTTGTAAATCGTGTCGCCGGCCACTCGACCGAACATGGTATTTTTCCCCGTCAGCTCGTCCGCCTTGCCGAGCGTAAAGAAGAACTGACTGCTGTTGGTGTCTGGTGCCCCTTCGTTCGCCATACCCAAGAGACCTCTGCGGTTGAACTTGAGGCGCGAGTGGAACTCGTCCTTGAAGTTGATGCCATGAGGTCCCGCATTCTTTCCCCTCCTCTGGTCCATCGGCCATGGGTCGAGGTCACCGCTGAGCGCGCCATTATCGTAGATCGACTCTCCTCCATGACCGGTGCCGCTGGGATCACCACCTTGGACGATAAAACCAGGGATCAGGCGGTGGAAGATGGTGTTGTCGTAGTAACCGTCGAGTGCAAGCTGCAGAAAGTTTCGGCATGTCAATGGCGTTTGCTTCGCGAATAGCTCGACGGCAATCTCGCCCTGTGTTGTGTGAATAATCGCAGATGCCGTCGGTTGCGGCTCGAGGTTGTAGATGGCCGACATGGTGATGAGGTTTGCCGCGCTCGGCTCGGTGTGTGATTACGCGGTTATGTTATTTTGCGGCCGGCGCATGCGATTATGGTGTTTTGAAACTGGAGTTTCGGCAAAAGAGTGGTGTTTTGGCGTCGACGCGGCAAGTGCTTGCGTGGTCAAGGCAAGTTCAGTTCATGGCGCAAACTGAACTGAATGAGTGTGGAACTCTTTTAGTTTGCTGGATGCAGTTCAGCCTCAGCTTGAGACGACTGGACGATCGCAGTTGGACGCGAAGGGAGGTTGGAGGTTTTGTGGAAGGTGTGGCGGTGCAACGAATGTTTCGAGCGGGGGAGCTGGAGTGAGTGTGTTTGGACAGCCAGACCCTTTGTAAGGCGGGAACTGACTGCCCACCTGAAAGTGGAAGCACTGTCAGGCCCTGCGGATGACGGATGCGGGGCTGCCCTGTCACTGCCCGGGCTGTACCTTGGGAGTGCCCGGCCCGCTGCCTGCCAGGACCTGCCCGCTATACACTACAGGGCACCGCAGCGCAGTTGGAGGGCAGGAACTTCCTGGCCTGGAATGGGCGCTTCGCGTTGTCACTTGTCAGCCAGCGGCCTCATCAGCCTATCAGTCCAGGCCAGGCCGAGGACGGGGACTCGGAGCTTGGTTGCGTTGCAACTTCGAGACACCAACATACATGTTACGCTACCTTGGCTCCCATCTCCATCCGCCAACCTCATTCTCCTCCATTGCATTCAGCATAGATTCCGATCTTTATCCTGAGCCGGCCTCGAGGTCTTGAATACCGACGTCCGCACTCTTCCACAATGGCCGACCCCCGGGTACCGTCGTCATACAACGTGACGCCCAGAATCCGCTACAACACCGTTGGTGGTGTCAACGGCCCTCTCGTCATCCTCGACAATGTTGGTCAACCACCACTTCTCTTCACCGCAATGGGCGTGTCTAACAACTGCCGCAGGTCAAATTCCCTAGATACAACGAAATCGTCACATTGACCCTCCCCGATGGAACGCAACGCTCCGGTCAGGTTTTGGAGGCGCGAGGTGTGTTTCCCTCTCGCCATATCTTCTTGTGCTTCTCTCTGATCAACAGCTGACAGTCATGATGTTCTACAGGAAACCGCGCCGTCGTCCAGGTAGATCACCGCGACACAAGTTGGCAGACACGCGAACAATGCGCTGATATCATGAACAGGTCTTCGAGGGTACTTCCGGCATCGATGTGAAGAAGGTGAGGCAGATATCCACATGGGACTAGCGAACAAGAAACTGACCAGGAACAACAGACCAAAGTCGAGTTCACCGGCGAAAGCTTGAAGCTTGGTGTATCAGAGGACATGTTGGGCCGTATCTTTGATGGTTCCGGCAGGGCGATCGACAAGGGTCCCAAGGTGTTGGCCGAGGAATATCTCGACATCAACGGCAGTCCTATTAACCCCTACGCCAGAGTAAGTACCTTGGTTGCTGAATTGCCAAGGCCGGGGACATTGTGCTGACAAGACATAGGAATACCCTCAAGAAATGATCTCGACGGGTATCTCTGCCATTGACACCATGAACTCCATCGCTCGTGGTCAAAAGATTCCCATCTTCTCGGCCGCCGGTCTGCCTCACAATGAAATTGCTGCCCAGATTTGCCGACAGGCCGGTCTCGTCCAGCGCCAAGGTATCACGAATAAGGGTGTGCACGATGGTCACGAAGAGAACTTTTCGATTGTCTTTGGTGCCATGGGTGTCAACTTGGAAACCGCCCGTTTCTTCACGCGCGATTTCGAGGAGAACGGTAGTTTGGGCCGCACCACCCTCTTCCTCAACCTTGCCAACGACCCGACCATCGAGCGTATCATCACCCCCCGTCTCGCCCTCACGACGGCCGAGTACTACGCCTACCAGCTCGAGAAGCACGTCCTGGTCATTCTTACCGATCTCTCGTCATACTGCGATGCTCTCCGTGAGGTCTCGGCTGCTCGCGAAGAAGTACCCGGTCGTCGTGGTTTCCCGGGTTACATGTACACAGATTTGTCGACCATTTACGAGCGTGCCGGTCGTGTGGCTGGCCGCAACGGCTCCATCACGCAAATTCCCATTCTCACAATGCCTAACGACGATATTACCCATCCCATTCCCGATTTGACGGGCTACATTACCGAGGGTCAGATTTTCGTCGACCGAGGTCTCCACAACCGTGGTATCTACCCTCCCATCAACGTGCTGCCCTCTCTCTCGCGTCTGATGAAGTCGGCCATTGGTGAGGGCATGACCCGCAAGGATCACGGTGATGTGTCGAACCAGCTGTACGCCAAGTACGCCATTGGTCGTGATGCCGCGGCCATGAAGGCTGTGGTTGGTGAGGAGGCCCTGTCGAACGAGGACAAGCTTTCTCTCGA